TAATACAGTGAAGTTGAGGCCTAGGGAGACACTGTTGATCTGCTGTACTTCCAAGTCACTGGGTAGAGACAACACCAGAGAATCTATACTGCTGTATAAGCATAAGCAAGAATGAAGTCACTAGTATGATCTGGCTTGTTACTGCAGCATGGTAACCAAGCCTACATTCCGAGTCTATTTTGCCAACATTCTTGGATATGGGCAGAAATATGATATGGGAGGACTTTCATTGTAGTGGTGTCAAAGCTGATTAGCAACTACCATCAAGAAAGGACTGGTTAAATATGGCAGCTAGATATGCTTGGATATCATGGCAGCCATGTTTAAAACAACAGACCTAAACTCGCTAAAATGGAATTCACTTGAAGAGGAAACACACTCACACACACAAATATAACTTTAATTTTTAGTAGAAAAACTATGAATAATCATTGGTTATCTCTGAAGAGACCTTTTCATAATACGTGGTTAGATTCTATTTGTAGTTTTTATTTATCAAATAAGGAAGAAAGTATTTTATAGCAATCTTTGTAAGAACTCAACTGTGTAGAAATTGATAAAACCTGCTTCTACCACTTATAAAGAATGAGAGCAAGATCCCAAATACCCAAAGTCATCTTGAAATAGAACAAAGTAGGAGAATGCACATCTCAATTAAAAAACTTATTGTACACCAATGGTAATTGAGACAGTATAATCTACCTTAAATCCCTTGTCCTACCATGTTTGGAAACTTAGCAAAATGATTAAAGGTTGCTAGACGATATGATCCTGTGTCTATGTATCGGTTCAGGCCAGAATCACTGCCCTCTACACCAAGAAGGTAAAAACATACCTGGACAGAGTTGTCATTTTAGCTTCTTTGCTTTCCCCTTCTGTGTGTCTGGGGTCTGCTTCTCCCCATTTTGCCAAATCTTTCATGAAAGAGTGTAAAGCTGAGCTTGAGTACCTCATTCTTATAATCCTAACTACTCAGAAGGCTGATATCTGAGGTTCAAAGCCAGCTCTGGCAGGAAAATCAGTGAGACCTTATCTTTAATAACCAAAACCTGGAAGGGGAGCTGTGGCTTAAGTAGTACAGTGCTAGAGTGCTAGCCTTGAGCGTAAAAACTCAAGAGACAGTGCTCATGCTCAGGCCGAGTTCAAGCCCCAGGATCAGTGTGCGTATGGGCCTGTATGTACACACACACAAACAAATTAAGAGGGTAAATACTGGTATAAGGAACATATAAACCAATGACAAAGAATGCGTCTAGAAATAAACTCATTTGATTATAGTCAATAGTTTTCTTCAAAGGTGCCAACACAGGAAAAAGATTTTAACAAATAGTGTTGGTGCATCTGGGTAGCTGAATAAAGTTGAATTTGTAACTTATACTATTATACAGAAATTAAACTATACAAAAAAAGGGGGGGGGGGGGAGGGGGGTAGGGGGGGGGGGGAGGGGGGTAGATGGGAAGGGATGGGAAGGAGTAACAAAGGAGGAGGCAACAATGCTTGATAAGAAATGTACTTATTATCTTGCCCATGTAATTGTAACCCCTCTGGACAGTATTTTCACACACACACACAAACCATACAAAAAACCCCCAAAATACAAGGACTAAAACTGTAACTCTTACATCTTAATGATCATAGATCTGTCAACTGATTCTTAGACAAACATCAAAAGCATGATGAACAAAAGCACACAAATGAAACTTCAGCAAAACCAGTAACTTTTGGGCTTACTACAGGTCTTCATCAAGAAAGTAAAAATATAATATAGAGCGGGAAGGAAGAATTACAAATTCAAGTAACAGAATTACTTTGAGAGCACATATAGAACTCATACAATTCAATAATTAAAAAAATCGATATCCCAATTAAGACGGAAAAACCACAAAGAAATAATTTAAAGGCACAAGTAAGACAATAAGCAAGTCAGATAATAGCAAATATTGGTGAGGATTTGTATGTTGCTGGTAGGAATGACAGTTATTTTGAAAAAAGCTCAGGCAGTTTCTCAATATAGGAATATAGGATGATTACCTTATGTCCCAGTAATTCCCCTCTTAGGTATACACTGAAAAGAAATTAATGAAAATCTACACAAAAGCTTGTACACAAATGTTTATAGCAACATCACTGACACTAGTCAAAAGTCAAAAAAACCAAAATGCTCACCAAAACTCATAAATTTAAAAATTGCAGCATTATCTATATAGTGGTATTACTTGGCTATAAAAATAAAGTACTAAAACTGCTACAAGACAGTGATAATAGAAGATCAGACAGTACATGACTGTTTATATGAAGTGACCAAAATTACATAAATTTATAGAAATAGGAAGTAGATTAATGGATGCCTAGCACAGATGGTGGTGGTCATGGTATGGGGGAGGTAAGAGCTTATTAACAGGATCTGAGTTTTCTTTTTTTTTCCATCAGTTTTAACTGGATAAATAATAGGTTTCATTGAATTTCCACACACATATCCATGTATCTAATATATTCTGACCACATTTATTACTCTCTATTATCCCATCTTCCTCACCAACCCCCAAAATCTGTTTTTGTTTTTTGTTTTTGGCAGTACAGGGGTTTGAACTCTGGCTCTTATACTTGCTGTGCAGATGCCACTTGTGCCAATACCTGCAGACCCTTTCTCATTTTTGGTGTATTTTTGAAAAATAGGGTCTCACATGTTGCTTGGGCCTGAGTGGACCACTATCTTCCTGCAGAGCTGGGATGAAAGATAATCATCATATCATCACTATTCACACCATTATTCTTGATTTTTTATTATTTAAGCTTGAATGTCATGAACTTTTGTGACTAGGCTGGCTTCAAATTGTGATCCCCCCAATCTCAGCCTTCTAAGTAGCTGGCTAGATTACAGGCATGGTCACTGTGCCTGATCTTTGGGTTTCTTTTTGAGGTAACAAAAAGTGTTCTACTACTGGTTGTGATGATGATCAATATCAATAAATATACTAAAAATCACTGATTTGTACACTTGAGTGAGTTGTATGATATGTTAAACACAGAAGCAGAATTCTGTATGACTTTTAAAAATCTTTTCTAACTCTGAGATTTACCTCTAATTAAAAAGTTACTGTTAAGGGCTGGGAAGGTGGCTCCGTGGTAGAGTGCTTGCCTTGCATGCCTGAGGCCCTGGGTTCGATTCCTCAGCACCACGTAAGCAAAAAGAAAAAAGCCGGAAGTGGCACTGTGGCTCAAGTGGTAGAGTGCTAGCCTTGAGCTGAAGAGCTGAGGGACAGCGCCCAGGCCCAGAGTACAGGCCCCATGACTGGACCCCCCCCCAAAAAAAAATTACTGTTAGGATTAAGAAGAACTAACAGGTAAGAGGGAGTCACTTGGGGGAAAAAAATCCCTAAGTATTTTAATGTAAATTGATTTTAATTATTATTTAATAAGGTGATTTTAATGCCTATAATAAACTAAGTTCTACAAAAGGCATTTCTAATCAGCAGACCCTTGTACAAAAGTACAAAAGTCTGAACTAATTTAATTTACATTTCCTTTTGAAAAGAATATTTAGCTCATAAGTTTTGGAAAACTGGCATTTTATTAGGTCTCACATAGAAGAGCTGAGATTTAGAAAGAGGCCCTAATGAAAAATGACAAGGAATGAGAAATGCTGAAGGACATTTTTTAACTCATTTTTTTACTTATATTTTTATTTTAATTCAAAGCTAAGGCTACTGGTTTAATAAAGTCACAGCTTTGATTAATATCAATCTGATGATCAGAACATAAATATAACCAGGGAAAGGCTTTAAAGTATCATTAAGTAATTTATGATTTTGTGAGACTTCTAGGATTTGTGATTATGTGAGACTTTTAAAACAATGCAGTGTGTCAGCTAAGTCATACTACAGATGGATTTCAGGAGAAATAAAACAGCAGAAATAATTTTCAGTCATGTTAGTTTGCTGAGTCCACCCTGGCTTTTGTAATAAAATAATGTAGGCTTTTTTTGGTGCTGGTCATTGGACTTAACTCATGGTTTGCCCGCTGTCCCTAAGCTTTTTTGCTCAAGGCTAGCGTTCTAGCATTCAAACCACACTCTATTTTTGGCTTTTTTTGGGTAGTTAATTGGAGAAAGGAGTCTCATGGACTTTCCCGCCCAGATGTCTTTGAGCCCCAACTCTCAGGTCTCAGCCTCCTGAGATTACAGGCATGAGCCATCAGCACCCAGCTTTGCAGAAATTTTAAAGTCAGCATTACTGCACATACAGGAAAACTGAAAGTTGGGCACATTCCTATAATCTCAGCTGCCTGGAGGAAGGCAGAGGCAGGAGGATCAAGAGTTCTAGGCCAGTCCAGGCCTAGCTGATCCTGCCTCAAGAACAAAAAGCAAACCAAACACAAACAACAACTTCTATCCCCAAAAGCCCAGGGACATGATCAAGTGGTAGAATGCATGTCTAATAAGCACAAGGGCCTGGATTCAATCCACTGGGTCTGGAGAAGCTGGGACATGAGGAATGGGGACAACAGGTGACTGGAAAGCATGTGTCTATAGACACTAAACCAGAGTTGATTTATCTGAGGAACTGATAACTACCAACATTGTTGTTTTATGATAATAAAAGAGTTAAAATTTCATGCTGGGCATGGTGGCTCAGGCCTGTAATCCTAGCTACTCTGGAGGCTCAGATCTGAGGATCGTGATTTCGTGATTCAAAGCCAGCCAGCTGGGCTGTCAGACTCTTATCTTCAATAAACCACTCAGAAAATCAAAGTGGTGCTGTGGCTCAAGGTAGAGTGCTCGCCTTGAGCCGAAGAGCCAAGGAACAGTGTCAAGGCCCAGAGTTCAAGCCCTACAACCGACTAAAAAAAAAAAAAAAAGCGTGTTAAAATTTGTACAAATGCTTTCAAATGTTAGCATTTGAGGTAACATTTGAAGATAATACCCCTTCTACTATGAAATGAAGTGTACAACTATAAAGCCCAGCACGGAAAATTGCCCCTCTTTTAGAATAAGTATTACCTTGTGTATAGGCAGCATCATCAGATCCCATACTCAGTTTCCGGGCTTCACTTATTCTATCCACATGTGCTAAGGATGGGTCAGTGAGGTGCTGGATAGTCTCTGTTTCTACATAATGATCAGGATGATTGAGAAGATTTGTAAGTTCAAAGGTCGGGGACACAACCCCTGGTGAAACTGCAGGGGGCTTATTGGGAGAAACTGTAATTTTGAAGGTGTATTTTGTGTTGGGCTGGGTGACTACCACTCGAGGAGAAGTTGCAGAGTTATTGCCTATAGCTCGACTTTTGGGAGGGTGATGATGTATGAAAGCAGGGCCCATGCTCACTTGTCCAGACATATTCCTGGAGGCAGCAGATGCCCCAGAGTTTGTGGATATGAAGAGTGTGGGCTGATTCCGTAGGCCCTGCTCATCTCCTGTGGTGGCATTAGCTGAAATATAGACCTTAGGCTGACTCCGAGAGATCATCTCATCAGTACTTGGAGGACTGGCAGCTATGTAAACAGTGGGCTGATTTCTACTTAAGGTCTGGCTATTGACTGAAGAGGAACTGTTGGCGGTTCGAGGTCCAGAAGAACGTAATTTTGAAGAATTGTTTCTTTGGGGGGGTTCAAGTTTGATTTCAATCTGGTTTTTTCGAGGTCCTGTCGAAATATTCTGAATGTTATATTGGCTATGGGCAGAAGACTGTGAGCTACCAGATGAATGAACTGTTGGTGGTTGTGGAGTAGTAGGTGAACTGATGGGCATGTAGACATGAGAGGTCTGGTGGCCTTGCTGATTTGGCTGTTGGGCTGAGGTATGTGGCAGAGGATTAGATGCAGGATAAGTAGTCCAAGGACCAGGCTGTGAAGGTTGATAGACTTGCTGAGGGTTCATGGGATTAAACTGAGATACCCAGCCAGAATGCTGTTGTGTCTGTCGAGTTGTACCACTAGGAGCGGTAATATAAGGCCTAATATAGATAGAATTTCCCTGTGGACTGTTAAGTACAGGTGGAGGTACACCATGTATGTGCAAAGATGTAGGAGTATTACGACCAGTCTGGATATTTGGGGCTAACGTTACCATAATTGGATTAAATCTGGGAGTTTGTTGAGAAAGGTTAGATGCTCCTTTGCTGCCTAGGTGAAATCCAAGATGTGGTGTTGCATTTGAAGCACCAGATGTACTGGACATTCCAAAAACATTAAAGCCTTGAGGAACTTGGGCTGGTGCTGTCTGTGGCTCCTGCTGAAATAGTTCATTGTTGGACTGACCACCTTGAAGCTGTCCATCACTAATGCTGTGTGTTAAAGTCCGACTTCCATTCATTCTACTTCCTTCTCTTCCATGGTGGTAAACATTCTGTGATTGCAAGTCCAAATTGAGAGAAGTCATGTGATTACGTAGGCCAGAAATTCCTGAATCATCCGAAAAATTCAGGTCTCCTTCACCATAAAGATACCTTGTACTCTCCTGAGAGAGAACAGCACAGCAAGCATCCAGGTTATTATTATTCTATAAGATAAACAAAAACAATTTATGTTAATAATCAGAAACTAAACTCAGATTGTCACTATTACACAGAATGTGTTTAACAAGTTAATGACTAATAAAATTATAGCCTATATAAGAAACTTTTTGAGAATAATTTTTATGCAAATGACTGAATTAAAAATCCTCACTACTAGTGTAATGAAATTGGTAAAAGATAAAAATGAATCCCATCACTGTTGTTTTAGAAGCTATTTAACAAAATGGTTTCATACAAGTAGTAAAATTATAACTTAACTAAAACAGAACTTTAATACTGAATAAAGTAACCAACTTAAGTATGTAAGAGTTTATAATTAAGTTTATTTCTAAGGTGAATGTATCATTCAGGGTTTCTCAAAGTATTCGAAGAAAATATTCTATCAATACTTACACAATACTTATTCTATCAATAAATTCTCTTAAACCAACGACCGTTTAGCAAGTTAATTTTTTTTTTTTTTTGGTGCTAGTCCTAGGGCTTGAACTCAGGGTCTGGGTGCTGTCCTTGAGCGTGTGTGTGCACGCGCGTGTGTGTACGTGTATGTGTGGTTGGTCATGGAACTTGAACTCAGGGCCTGGGCACTGTCCCTGAGTTCTTTTGCTAAAGGCTAGAGCTCTACCATATTGAGCCATAGCACCACTTCCAGCTTTCTGGTGGTTCACGGGAGATGAGAATCTCATGGACTTTTCTGCCCAGTCTGGCTCTGAACCATGATCCTCAGATCTCAGACTCCTAAGTAGCTAGGATTACAGAAGTGAGCCAGCGGGGCCCAGCTAATGTTTAAATTTTTACAAGTTCTATAATTTAAACCATAGTCACCTAACTTCTTTACCATCTTCTTCCTTTTAACCTGTGGAAAGTATCTTTTTATGAAATACATAAATATAAGGAAGCTTCCAGAGGAAATGAGTGTATACTCTGCCTTTAAAAAGTACCATAAAAATCCACTCCAAAGAAACAAAAGAAAAGCAAAAACAAACTTTAAGGAATCACCAGCAGAGACTGTATAACCATCAGTCACAAATCATCTACAAAGTATTTACTGAACATTTACCATATACATAGCACTGTGGAAGACTGGATGACATATAAAATTTGATTTTTCCCTCTAGAACTTGCAATTCAGGTAGATTAACCACACTGAGTATAGTGATGACACATGTCTAATTTCAACACTTAAGAGGCAAAGGCAGGGAGATCATGAGTTTGAGGCCAGTCAGTCTCTACATAATGAGTCTGTCTCAAATATAAACAAACAAGTGCTGTCACCAAACAAGGGATACTTACATCACATTTACAGGAGACCAATTTGTCTTTAATATTTTCCAAGTTTGGAGGTCCTGCAAGCTAGTTATACTTAGAGAAATTCTTTCCATTCTTTTCTTGTTACAGTTCTTGGTGAATCAGGTAAAGGTAAATTACCTGGATGTCCAGAATGTTGAGAGAGAGAGAGAGACAGAGAGACAGAGAGGAGGGAGAGAGAGGGGAGGGAGTGTGTGTGTGTGTGTGTGTGTGAGTGTGTATGTGTGTGGTATGTATGTGTGTGTATACTGGGGTTTGCACTCAGTGCCTTGGGCTTACTAGGCTGGCACTCTACTACTTGAGCCATACTTCCAGTCTTGGTAACTGGAGTTTGAACCTCAAGGTAAGATATTCCCCCAGAACATGCCTATCCTTTTTCATTAGTAATGTTTGGATAAAGTCTTGTATTTTTTCCTTGGGATGGCTTCTGACTACAACCCTCCTACTTATGCCTCCTTTGTAGCTGAAATTACAGGAACATACAACACTATTCCAAGCTTCCTGGTTGAATTAGAGTCTTGCTTTTTGCTCAGCCTGGCCCTGAATTGGAATTTTCCTGATCTCTACCTTTTGAGTGGCTAGGATTACAGGTGTGTTCCACAATGTCTGGCCCCTGAACTTTTTTTTTTTTTTTGAGACAGAATTTTATTATTCAGCTCAGGCTAGACTTGAACATATCATCCTTCTGTCTTAGATTTCTGAATGATAGGATTATGTGTATGCTACAAGAAGCATCTTGTTTTCCTAACACATCACAAAGAAGATACTGAAGAACATATATACTTTATATATGTTATATGGGCTGGGAAGGAGGTTCAGTGGTAGAGCACTTGCCTTGCATGCATGAGGCCCTGGGTTCGATTCCTCAGAACCACATAAGCAAAAAAGAAAAAAACCAGAAGTGGCGCTGTGGCTCAAGTGGTAAAGCGCTAGCCTTGTCAAAAGTTGAAGAGCTGAGGGACAGCGGCCAGGCCCAGAGTTCAGGTCCCACGACTGGACCCAACAAAAAACAAAACAAAACAACTTTATATATATGTTATATACATACACATTTACATATATAACCTATATATACTTTTCTCAAAGTATTCTAACTGGGTTTGGGGTATGGCTCAAGTGGTAGAGCACTTGTACATGAGGTCCTGGGTCCAATCCCCCAAAATGAAGAAAGGGAAAGAGAAAACACTTAAAGTAATGCTACATAAGACTGTTTCATTCCTATTTTAAAACATCAAGTACTGAGTTATGGGGAAATGTTCTAGATAGTTTTGTCTATAGAATTTTATTAAAGAATTTACAGTATTTTCCTACTAGTTTTTCAATAACTATGCATCTTCAATATAGTTTCATTTTGCTACAAAAATCTATTTTACCTGAAAAGTTAAGAAGTGACTTCTAGGGAGACTAGCTATCTCTCCACCTTCCCCATTTACCCCTTCCCGCCTTTTGTTTGTTGGTTGTGGGGCTTGAACTCTGGGCCTTGGTGCTGTTCCTCAGCTCTTTAGCTCAAGGCTGGTGCTCTACTACTTAAGCCACAGCACCACTTCCCCCATACCTTTTTTAACTTGAGTCCATTCTTATTACTCCTCCCAATTTTTTTCATTTTACATTCTATAGGTAAATGGGTACTGCTATCCATTCCCTGGATGTTTACTAGAGCCTTTCATTTATTATTATTACCCCTTTATTTCCCTCTAAATTTGCTTTATACAACCAGGTAAATATGAATTAATGAACAAAAACTTTAGACACACACACACACACACACACTCTCTCTCTCTCTCTCTCCCCCCCCTCTCCAATTTAATAGAACCTGATAAACTTCTCTCAATTTTTTTCAACCTCGGGCTGGGAAGTTGGCTCAGTGGTAGAGTGCTTGCCTTTGCATGCATGAGACTCCAAGTTCGATTCCTCAGCACCACATAAGCAGAAAAAAGCCAGAAGTGGTGCTGTGGCTCAAATGGTAGTGTGCTTACCTTGAGCTGAAGAGCTGAGGGACAGCGCCCAGGCCCAGAGTTCAACCCCCATGACTGACCAAAAAAAAAAAAAAAAAAATCCCCTCTTCAATTTTTTCCAACCTCATCTTTCCATCATGGGGCTCAAAGGGAAATTAACATATGGACATTACTACTGAATGTCAAAGTAATTATGACATACTAAGTTCTTTTATAATGCAATCATGAAGACCCTCATACAAACCGTTTTTGTGTGTGTATATGTGTGTGTGTGCTGGTCCTGGGATTTGAACTCGGAACTTGAGTGCTGTCTCTGAGCTTTCATTTGATCAAGGCTGGCACCCTACCACTTCAGCCACAGCTTCACTTTGGATTTTGAATAGTTTATTATAAGAGTTTTACAGTCTTTCCTGCCCTGGCTGGCTTTGAGCCTGGATCTCCAGATCTCAGCCTCCTGAGTAGCTACAGGTATGAGTGGCCAGATCAAATTGTGTTTTGTATGTAGAAAAGTATAAGACTCAATATTCAACTTAAAATAATAAATTTTTGACTTCTTGGTTATCCACAGACTGCTTCTCCTTTTGATAGGAATGATTTTTAGTTATAACTCCACTGAGCTGAACAAGCAAGTCACCTTTGAGAATGTGAAGAAATATAAACACATGCAAAACAGATAAGCCATCTCTACTACATCTTTACTAAGCCATCTCTACTTCTAATACTTCAGACAATTAAGAGATTTACTCTTATACTAATTGCAAGAAAAATTAAAGGAAAATTTTCATTTTTGAGATACAATTATGGTACTGACCAATAACACGTACCAAGCTCTCATTATGAATCAGGTATCCTACTGGTTGCTTACCTTCATTATCGTATTTAATTCTCACGTTTTTTCTTTCTACTGTACTGTTAAGGATATGAATATGAAGGTAATAAAGTGAAAGGTAAAAGGCTCATCAGATTATTGCTTGTAATAATCAAAACTTGAATTTAGGTCTGCTTATTACCAAAACAATGATCTTAACCACTGTCTATGTATAGCAAGTAGTATGGAGAATTGGATCTAGCTCAAAGGATAACAGCAGCAGAGGGTGTGAGGAGGAAGAACTAGATAAGCCCATCAGTTTTAGAAAAGCCAAGTTCCACATCAAAAACTAGTATGCCTTAGGAAAGACACATAAAATTTATTCAGAAGGTCCTGAAGTAACAACGTTTTATAATAATGCAAATACATGGCAAAATCTGCAGTTAGAAAGCCATTGACAAAAGTAGATTAGAGACCAGAACTGGATTAAAGACAGGCAGTTTATTAAAAGAATAAAAAGTCAGTTAAAGGATAGGTACAAGGCTATAAAGGCTTGAACAAAATCCAATCACTTGTGATTAAGTAAAGATCTAAGAAAATATACATTCAATTGCAAACTTTGAGTTATTTGTAAAAACCATCTTTTATTAGTCCAGAAAAATATGCAAACATGTGTGTGTGTGTGTATGTGTAGGCACACACACATTTATTTATTTAATTGTACTTTGAACTCAAGGTTTCCTGCTTGCTAGGCAGGGGTACTTATCACTTACTCATTGCCTCTAGCTCTGTAGAATACTTTCTGATACAAAGATTTCCAGTTTAATCAAATAGGAAGACACAACTATCCCTAAACGTTTAGAATTATAAATCCCTAGAATTGTATATGCTAAAAACAATGAAGAAACCTACAACTTAAATTTAAAACTATAAAACCTAACTTTTTCTTTAGCTTTTTTCTCTTTTTTTATTTTTTTGTGGGTCATGGGGCTTGAACTCTGGGCTTGGGCGCTGTCCCTGCACTCTTCAGCTCAAGGTGAGCACTCTACCACTTAAGCCACAGCATCACTTCTGGTTTTCTAGTGGCTTATTAGAGATAAGAGTCTCACAGACTTTCATGCCCAGGCTAGCTTTGAATGGCTTTGAACCATGATCCTCAGATCTCAGCCTCCTGAGTATCTAGGATTACAGGTGTGAGCTCCGGGCTCCCGGCTTTCTTTAGAACTTGGATCTTAGGTACGCTCAAATAAAATACTTCTATTTTACAGAAAAATAAAATACAAAGGCCTTTTAAACAAATGTCCTTCTTGAAGTGCTGAAATAGGATTATAACACAAGTTTTCTGGTCTTTAATGTCTCTTCCCCCCTCTACTTCTGTACAAAGAGGAATTTTTAAACTTTTGCCTAGAGGAAGGGGAAAAATAAAGTGAATTCGTCGTTAATACATATAAAACCATGAATCATTGATTTAACTAATTTAATCCTGGTACCTAATCTACAAGATTGGTATCTTGTAGGAGATACTGCAGAGTCTGCTCTTGACAAAAGCAATATGATTATCAACAGCAAAGTTCTCTTCTTTTCATCATAGCACACTAATGCCAACAAGAAAATAAAACACCAGATTTATGTTAATAGATTAAGAAATAATCAACACTAACCTGTAGCATGCACCTGGATACAACAACTTCAGGTACTTCAGGGAATTTTTGTCGCAGGTCATGTAAAACCTGAAAATCAATTTGGTGGCTTCCTTGGGCCATTCGTATACTGCCTGCTCAGGACTATCCGTACAGTAGGCAATTCTAGGCCTTAGTGGAATTAGTACTCATCTCTTCTGGCCAAGCATTTTCTGTAAAAGAAAGAAAAGAAATTTAATGAGAACTGATTCTGAATATTCTTGTGGACTTAAAAGTTACAGTATAAAAAGTAGTATACTTTTGTACCTAACAATATAAACAGTAAAAATATGCTTGAACCATATAAAGCTTTCCATATAGCTGGTTTCTTGCAACTCTTAAAGACATATTCTTTTATATTGCCTAATTCCTTATTGTTACATGCATGCACCATGGTGGTGGTGTCAAGAGGCATTCAAATAAGAAGTTATTACCAAGGTTGTTTTTCTTGCTTTTTTAAAAAGAGAAGCATCAACAACTTTAGTGATCTATTTTCTTAATGATTACAGAGAATGGCTGGAGGCATAAAATTTTATACTATTTAAAATTTGTAGTTACAAACTTGTGGTTCTAAGAATGGCTGCATGCATTGGCTTTTAAAACTTATTAACTATAATCTATTTATTTATATTTAATATATATTGGATATATAATCCAATAGTTTATATTTTTCTTTGAGATATACTTAATCCTTAAATGCATAATTCATTCATTCTCAGGGGGTTAGTAATATTTTATTCCCTGTGTCTATTCTTTTAAATTGGTATTTGCAAAATTCTCATACGTGGACCCAGCCTTAGAGGTTCTGTTTAACTGGGTGGGGAACAGTCTGGCATATGGATTTAAAAAAAATCCTTATGTAATGTTCTAATGTGTGACCAAAGTTAAAAGCTTCCTCTTATTTTATATTCTTAATGTTCTGAGTGTAAATCACATCTAATTTTTAAAACTTCTTTGATAGAAATATGATTTAAGCATATCAAACCTAAACAAAATATTAAGCTATTTTAACCATACTACTATTCAATTAACAACTTAAAAATATTACAAAATTAAAATTTAGCAAGATAATATAGTCTCAAGTTGTATGTATGTGTGTGTGTGTGTGTGTGTGTGTGTGTGTGTGTGTGTGTGCTGGTCCCAGGGCTTGGGTGCTGTCCCTGAGATTTTTTGGTTAAGGTCTAACACTTGAGCCACCATTTCTAGCTTTTTGATGGTTAATTGGAGATAAGAGTCTAATGGGCTTTTCTGCCTACGCTAGTTTTGAATTGTGATCCTCAGATCTTAGCCTCCTGAGTTGTGAGCCATCAGTACCTGGCAATAAATTTCTTATCTGTAGTCTAAGGTATAATGAAGCTTAAATATAGAAGTCTGTAACCTATATGGATGCAGGTCTCTTGTTCATTACTGTGTAACTAGTACATTATACAACATAATAAAGGATTTCTCATTAGATTTGATCATGATGTAATTCCTGAGTCATCAATAGAATAAAAGTTCATGTATTAAAAACAGCAACCCTTTTTGTTTTCAATCATTTGATTATTTTTTTGTTGTTGTTGGTTGTGGGGCTTGAACTCGGGGGCTTGGACACTGTCCCTGATCCTCTTAGTGATCAAGGCTAGTGCTCTACCACTTGAGCCACAGGGCCACTTCTGTTTTTTGAGTGGTTAATTGGCTGTAAGAGCCTTATGGGGACTTTTCTGTCTGCGCTGGCTTTGAACCTTGATTCTCAGATCTCAGTCTCCTAAGTAGTTAGGAGTACAGGTGTGAGCCACCAGAGCCTGGCTAAGTTTTACTTAATTATTTTTGCTGATGCAACTTTAGCTTTATTCTGTGACATAGGTAAAATCAAAACAAAATTATTTGCATTACAGATTTCCCAAAAAGCATTTCCATAAACACTCCTGCACATTTACACACATAATTTGAGCACTCAAGAGTAGTTTTTACAAATGGATTGCAGAAAAAACCCAGAAATATTGTAAATAGTTAATAATATTTAAAACTAATATAAGGAGTGATAAACATACTACAGAACTACTCATCTTAAGAAAAATCTCCTTTAGCTCCTCTCCAACCTTTTACTTCTCTGCTTCCCTCATTTGAGGTAAAATTCCTTACAAAGGTTGTTTATACTTCAAATTCTTTCTTCCTTGTCAGTTTTTTTAAAAGTAAGTTTTTTATTGTGAAAATACTGTACAGAGGGTTTACAATCACATGAGCAAGGTAATGAGTACATTTCTTATCAAGCATTGTTGCCTCCTCCTTTGCTTTTCCCCTACCATCTCTCCCCTCCCATCTTCCACTCAATCTTTTTCAATGAGACAACACTTAACAAAGATGCTCTCTACCTTCAGATTGTAAAACCCCATGGCAAGTTCTCAGATCTCACTTTAACAAACCTCTCTGTAGTTTATGACCCAATCATAATTGACTCCCCAATTCATCTTTTTTGGTGGTACTGGGGACTGAACTCAGGGCTCTGCATTTAGTAGGTAGGCGTTCCACCACTAGAGTCACTCTTCCAACCCCTTTTTGTGTCGGTTATCTTCAAGAGATGGCATATGCCTATCTTCCTGTTTCCAGCCTTAGATTTGAGATGCAGTCTCATCTTCCCCTCTAGCTGGCCTAAAACCTTGATCAATTGTGCTTGCTAACTCTTGTGTAGTTAGGATTACACGATTGAGCCACCTTACCTGGCCTCACTCTCTGACTCTAAACAATTTCTTCTTCTGGCTTGAGATGAATAGTTTTCCTTTTACCTGCCAGCAACTTCTTAGCTTACTTTACCAGGTCCTCCTTTTTTCCAAACATGAAACTATTTACGGGCTTAATAGAGCTCAGACATGGGAGTTTCTGGGCAGCTTTGCCTGCCTTCCTCTTCACCATAATTTCAATCAAAGAGACTGCTTCAAGTAGCATATATATATATACTGAACTTTGCGAAAAATTATCATCTACAACCTCAATCTTTTGAGTTACAAAATAATACATTTAGCCTCTTTTTTTTTTTTTGTGGGTCAGGTCGTGGGGCCTGAACTCTGGGCCTGGGCGCTGTCCCTCATCTCTTCAGCTCAAGGCTAGCACTCTACCACTTGAGCCACAGTGCCACTTCCGGCTTTTTTTTGCTTATGTGGTGCTGAGGAATCGAACCCAGGGCCTCAGGCATGCAAGGCAAGCGCTCTACCACTGAGCCACCTTCCCAGTCCCTACATTCAACCTCTTGGTTAACATTTCCTATTTCAACTTTAACATGCCCAAAGTGAACTTGTAATTTCCTCTATTCATAACAACCCTTTCTGAGTTTTTCTTTCCATGTCAGGTTTTCATTCAATCATTCACCCAATTGGTCCTTCTCTCATCCCACATTCAATGTATTATCAAGCCTTGCTGACTTTACGTACAAAAAGTATTTTGAATTTGGCCACTTTTCTTTCCACCTGTAACTGCTTTTGTTAAGCCATCAAAATTCAACTAGATTACTACCACAAAATCTCTGAAATGGTTTTTTTCATCTTCATTCTTTGCTTACCACCATTATTCCCCCACTACCAGTTTTTCCTCTAGCAAGCAATCTTTGTGAAAAGGAAAATCAGAGCAATCATCCTTTTTGCTCAAATTAGACATTACAAGGCCTTTTGTTAATTACCACCTCTCATTTTTAAGCCACTCCTTATTCCTTGGTGACTTCCTTGTTCCTCTCATAAAGTTTTGGACTTTGACCAATTTTTTAAATAAAATAATGCTACATCCCTGGTTTTGCTCCCATCATCACATTCTCATAGCATTCATCAATACTGGGCCTATATTTCACCTATATTTATCCTCCAAACTTAACAATACACTGGCTATTGATGTATGCCAAGGATATAGATCATTCTTGTCTTGGAAAAGATTCAACATTTATTGAATGAAATAAAGGTTGTATTGTATGATACCTTCATACATCACAGATTCTAAAATACATCTCAAATGATCTATAATTGAAAAAAATTATACACAATTTTATGAAGAAACAAATCTTTGTTCTAAATGAGGAACATGTTATTTAAAAGATGAATTATGAAAACAAATTTAACTTGCTTTTCTAAAGCAAGGCACAAACAATGGGAAAATTATTCAGGGTATAATTATACTTTTGTTTTTTTCCTGTGCTGCGAATCAAACGAAAATCCTCTGCATACTAGGCAAATGCTTCATCAGCCCCTGCAACTCTATTTCATGTGTGCTTACTATAAAGACTAAATAGTTCCTATTGGACCAATGCTTCATGAACAACATCTATAAACACAAGATAAAGTATAAAACAGCAACCAGTTGAAGGCAGAAAAAGAAATACAAGAGGCAGTATTTGGAAGAAGAGGACAGCAAGGATAACTGGTATAGTTTGGGTGTAGAATGTCCCTGAAAGGTTATGTGTTGAGGGCTTGGTTCTCAGCAGGTGGTGAAGCTGTGGGAGGAAGTGCCTTGTTTAGGAAAGTAGGACACTGGGTGGGGGGTAGGGGAGCCATGGAAGGATAGAGATCTTGTTTTCAATACTTCCCTTACTCTCTCTTTTCCAGACTGTCACAGGTGAGCAGCTCTGCTCAACCACTTGCTCCTTTCACCATGATGTTCTGTATCAAGGTGAGAAACAATGAAGCAAGTGAGCAAAGACTGAAACCATGGGTCTAAGTAAAAACTTTCTTTTAATAAGTTTTATTATCTTAGCCATTTGTTGAACCAAAAGACAGACTTTGGCATGAACACAAATGTTGAAAGCCTATAGTGAGTAAATCGTGAAAAGGATAAAACCTCAGAGAATTGGTCCAAATTTCATGTCTATACTCTGTATACTAATTTCTGAATTACATATATGAGACAGAGCCCAAAAAGCCAGGCTAACCTTAAAATAACTAGAGATTCCAAGTTTGTAGCCTAAATTCAGTCAAATTAACTGGCCACTAAAACAAACCACGTATCAATATCCACTGAAGAACATAATAGAATCCAGAATCACTATATGTCATATACAGACTAAATACAGTCCCAAATTATTATATATAGAGAACAGGAAAAACTGATTCATACCCAAGAGAAAAAAGACAACCAACGTAGAAGATGTCCAACATGACTGAGCTACTAGAATTAGCACTATTTGAAAGCAGCTATTTTAACTATGCTCATGAAT